AAGAGATGTTTAATATAACTGCTGATAAATATAATTTTATATATATTTACACTTCTGACTGACAATCTGATTAAAATATACTCACAATCTACGTTGCTGTATTACATTTCTATTACTCATATTTCGTCTAACAAGATATCTGCGATTCGTTTCTTTCAATTCGATGACATGAGTTCTTGTCCCAGAAATTTGACTAGGCAATTCATTTCAATGTGAGAAACGCGTTGAGTTACAAAAATAATACAAAATACCCCGTGAGAATTTAAAAAATCTTCTGAAGTGTCAATTATGACCTTTAGCATAATCTTAAACGCCAATTTACTGGTGAGTAACAGCCGAGATCAAATGCAATAGCGTTAGATTATTTCAATAGAGAGAATCTAGATGAGACAGCTCTCATCTTTGCTTAGTATATTAACAAGCCTCAATTGATCGCGACTAGCCATCTCTAGTGACAGAACGGATTACCTAAAAGAGGTGATTGAGAAACTGGTATCTTTATTGCCATCGTCAATAAATATAACAAAACTATCAATATTTTTTATTAAAATTAAGTGAATAAGTAATAATAGACAAGTTAGTCCACATAACAAACCATGTTTCTACCCGAGATATGACTCCCATCAATATATTCATGAACTTGAGAAATATGATAATTCAAATATATTATATCTTTGCTTTTGATGTTTCACTTATTCTTTTGTAGAACGTAGTTGATTAGTATTAATAATCTTCATAATTATTTTCAGTTTTTTCTTACAGATTTTTGAAAAATGAATCGTATTTGCAATTTGTGCCAATTATGCATGTGTACAAATGTACGTACTGCAGTGTTGTAACAAAAGGTAAGTTTCAATATTACGAAAAAATCTACATGAAATATATGGGAAACGAACAAAAAATCCCCTAGCAGCGTGAGAGTCCATGGAAGGGGCTTAATACATAATTTTACCTTGACAGCTTCATGCGAAAATGAATTAAAGAGAATAAAGTATCGAATAAAAGATGCAAAAATATTCACAGAATAAATTTGGTAAAATAGCACGGTAATAAATTTACTATAACATCGTTTGAAAATGAACATCAGTAGCCGCTGTACAGTAGCATGACAAAAATCAGCATCGCGTGCTTTTTTTTTAATTCAACGTGTGCAGACTACTTCAGATATGAAATTTTTTTGAGCCACAAATCTCAAACTCTCAGGCGTAAAAAAAAGATATAGCGAAGGAAGTCACCAACTTACAATTGCCTATTACAAAAACTTATAAATATTAGGTTTTTGTAGGGTACCATTCATCGTTTCGAAAAATAATTTGCGTTGAGAGTATGCCAGCTACTGGTTTCTTATTTACGAACTCATAAAGAATCTATCATTTCCATTCATTTTTATGTTAAAAAAACGAATACCTTTACGATGAGCATTTGTTTGGAACTCCATTACATTGTGCCTTATGTCAGTTATGAATATGATAGTGTAAATCAATACGAGACTTAACTGAAAAAAAAGCGTAAAATTTCAACCCTTGTTTGTAATCTAACACACAAACTACTAACAATTTTTAAACCAAACATCTTTTATTACAGAAACTCAATGGTGTAGAAGTTTTCAATCATGAAGATCAAATCTAACAAAACCGTCGAAAATTAAGCCATGCACGAAAAGAACCTCTTTTTAAAAATTATGTTATTTCAACAAAGTACATGTTTCTCGTTCCACCAACTCGTATCGAATGTCTGTGACATGTAATGGGAGTACTGAAAAAGATGTAAGGCGTGGCAACAGCTGCCATCTGTCCCTTCAACGTGACTCCAGTGACAAAGACCGAATTCTATCATGCGAACGTCGATGGACTTAACATCGGGTTCACGACATTTTTCTGATAATCGCACACGAAACCAAAGGATATTCAGGTAAAATGTGTTTTAACCGAGTTACTATCTTTTACAAATGTGGAAATTAGCAATGCTAAGCTTTAACATAGGATTTCTTGAGTGGACGTCTCACATTGCGGGACCTGACCCAGTGCTTATCTGCGGGCCACTGGCATTATCTGTGGCCCGTTCAGTCAGCTCAACGGGTGGTGAGGAGGGGTAAGGTGAGGTGAGGAGGGGTAAGGTGAGGTGAGGAGGGGTAAGGTGAGGCCACCGCGGACAGTGTGGCCTCATTACAAACATCTATGCAGCCCTTTCTCGTAGTGTTGGTTGTCTTACAAAAAGCAAGCAACAATAAATTACAGGAAACAAAACTTCACATTTATTTGCCACTTCCAATGAAGTTTGGAATTTGGTCTGGACAATACATTATTTGGTACACACCAATTCGGTAATGTATCATTGAAATTTCAATTGCAACTATTTGTCAGAATTAAATTGTACTAGGAATTAACAGTGGTACCTAACCCAAATTTAGCACACTTCAATATTACTGCTGTATTGCCTACAGGTACGTCAACTTCTCTGATTTAGTTCCAGGAGTGTAGTGTCTGTTGTATCGCGAGGGATAGCGATGAGACGTCAACCTAAGCGTTTGTTTCTGGGGTTTCCCCTTCTCAAGGTTGTTCTTTCAGCGAGGTACGCTGTAAGTATATGCACTGGTAAGGCACCTTTAAGAGCACGCTATTGATTGGATTGATTGATTGATTGAATTTGCCTTATTTTACGTGGCGAGACTCGGGCCATCAGGCCGCTCTTCCGTCTGACCACGCAAATTCGCTACGCTCCTTTCACCAACTAGGAGAGAAAGAGGTAATTTCTTGGGCGAGAACAGGCGATTTGAATTTAGCTCAGAGGCGTCATTTAGGCTTGAGGATTCTTTTACATGCAAGTAAATCTACGAACATGGGACCGCGGCTTTACTCCCCTCCGAAGGAAGGCGTACGAAGGATTTTTTCGCCCTTAAAATCCACGGCTTCGATCGGGTTTGAAACCCGCCAACTTGGGTACAACAGTCCAGTACGCTAACCGTTATCACCATGGGCGCCGTTATTCTCATTTGATTTCTCAACGTGTGTGGTGGAGTGGGAGGGCGCTGCGTGGAGAGGTGGAGAGGTAAGCGAAAGAAGCGGGAGGCAGGAAGGAGGACGACCTCTTTCCGCAGCCCGCTTGTAAGTACACTGCTTCGTCATTCGTCTGGCCTTCGAGGAACATGGACTACGAGTAATAGGGGGTTTTTGGCATGAGATGTTAGTGCGTACTAACGCACAAAATTAGGGCATTAAAAGTTCCTTAAACATGTAAAAGAATACGTTTGATACTAATAATAAATCCAGTAAATAAAGAAAAAGTTTGCTACTGGGTGGCGTTTACAACTGTACACTCCTGAATCTTCTACTGTACAATGGTAAATCTAATAATAAAAGCGGTGTCTGGTTGTAAACATAAATTTGGCTTTGATATCCTTTTAATATTTGTTAATCTTTATGAAACTCTAGGAACACTTTTCTTCAAGACCATTCTCCATTGGATTGATAAAGCACTTTCCTCATTTCTTTAAACGAACAATATTTTTTAATCCGTGAACATCTTCGACCAAAAACAATGTTAATGAAAACGGAAGGAGAGCGAGTAAAATAATGTTATAAAAACTTCTTAAAATATTTTATTCGATAGAAAAAGGGTTATATATAAAATGCAAGTCAAGGTAAAAGTCTACGTGGAATTTCGTTTAAATATTCGATAAATTTGTATGACCAACAAATTTGTTTTTGTGTTTTTGTTTTCGGGAATATATTTCTGCAGGATTGGGTTATTGAGTGAAGATAGAAATCAGAACAAATAATATTAAATAAGTTTATATAATCTCAGAGTTACAAGCACGTAAAACAGGTATTTTTAATTTTACTAAGATTAGTCTACATTTTTATAATAATTCTCACTAAAAGAAGCATAAAATGATTCCGTAATCACCTAATCAACGTCACAATGATACAAAAAAGGTTGAATGAATAAATGAATACAAATTAGCATTGTAATGTACACTAATACAGTAAGACATTTTAATTTACAATGAAAATGCAAGTTATAATTGATATTAGCACTTTTCATAAAAGTATTATATGCAGTCATTATGTACACTAAATATATTATTTTCCTTTTGTTTTTAACTTTTTCGGAAAATAATGTTTTAACCATTCAATTGATCTTTCGATACTTCAAACAAATAATTTTCTGATTCACAAATCTCAGTAGTTTTGTAGTAAATTATTGATCTGCATTTATGTTCAACACATTTTGGATATTCCCAATTCTCACAAACTTCATTATTTACTTTCTGGCATTGAAAGTTTAGGATTTCTCGGAAACTTTGCTTAGGGAAAGACACATGACTTTCGGCTAAGCCCTCTCACCCTGCTCCCAAGACTTCACATCGCAACGTTCAGGTGCAGATGAGTAGACCTCTATCGAATTTACACAATTAGGACATGCACAATATTCATAGAGCCGGTCCGGATGGCCGAGAGCGCTAAGGCAGTAGTGCCGTTTCGATCTCGGACCGAAGGATCGCGGGTTCGAGTCCCGCCTCAAGCATGGTTGTATTGCGTTCGGCCTTTCACACCTATCACATCGTGTCATCCTCAGTTACCATACCGTTACAGCAATAGTGGTCGCTAATGACCTAGTAGTTGATGCGACCTTAAATTCTCCCGGGAGTTCTAGCTGGTGATCCATACCAATGTTTAAGAGAGTATCTTGTGAGCGGTTTTAACATTTGCACTGGCAATGTTTATGCAAATAAAATAAAATTACAAAATTCTTTCAAAATTCTTCACCAACTGTACATAGATTCGGTCATTGGCAAAGTTGACATTGCAAAAATTCGTTCAGAGAACAGGATACTACAACGAATCTACACATCAAGTTAATAGTAATATAATATTTGACAGTAATAATGTGCGTGTGTAATACAGCGCTTGTAGACACTGTGACTATCTTTTGAAATGGCCCTTTATGGAAAACTTGATAACTGGATTCCTTCGCGCTGTGCAAGTAATTCTCTCATTGTCCCTGCTTCTCTTTTCACGATCACTTAATTTTCTTATCATATTTTCATAATCACCTATCCATCAAATCATTTATTTCGGGTACGGCCTTAAAACTTGGGCACTGTCATCATACTGCACTCCTATTGTGATTTCTTCACTAAATGCTCACTTCTGTCGCAATGAATTTAATTTCCTTTATGACACATTTCGAATTTTAAAATACAAACCCGATGTTTTCGTGATATTCATTTATTACGACAATGTCAATTTTTGAAAAACAAGCCCTGATTGAAGTCAATTACCATAGAATATTAAATTTAATGAACCTTTTCAAATTCATTATATTATTTAATATATTTAAAACCTCGATATCCTGATAATATAATTCGATATCGTACAAGGATAAAAATATAATATTTAATTGGGAACTCTATTTATCCGCTCCCTGTTGTGTTAACACTTCCTCCTCCGTTGTGTTGCCCAAGTTCGCGCCTTGCCACCTCGTGTTCTCGTCAGCCACCGAGAGACTCGCCCGGCGCCGGCGCCGCCCCCTCCCTGTCTTCCACCACATTCAGTCGCTGCTGTTCCACTTCCGCCGCCATCGCCGCAATGATGATCACCGCCAGCATCGTCACCAGCACACTCGCCGTTATGATCGTCGAGAGCACGTCCACCATCACCAGCGGCGGCGGCGCCAGCCCCCGCAGCGCGCCAGGCGCCGTCTCCCCCACTCTCTCCACCACTCTCTGAATCGCCGCCATCTTCGCCGTCTCGGGCAGCGCCTGCGGGCCGCACAAAGAAGCACTTGCCAGCGGGGCGTGTACAGAGTCGCGCCCGCCGGTTCTATTGTTCTGCACAGAGGCAGCAAGGACATTTTAATGTGCCACCCCTACTTGTTGAGCGTGTAAAGCGGGATAAATGCTTAATTTTTAGCGCGAATGCTAAAAGTGAGCTCAAATGTTCAGATGAAACTGAATACAAACAAGAAAAAAAGTAGTCTGATTCCAACACTTAATATTTATGTAACCTAGTACTTTTTATGCTTGAATTAAAATAAAATATATGCCAGTAAGGTTGTTTAAAAAACAATATACGACATACTAAAGTTATTTTATTTTGCTCGTTGAAATGCGACACTGCCTTTCGGCCTCGTGTCGCAAAATTTCCTACTGGCAAAATAAAATGACACTTATCACTCGTATCATGCACGACCATTAAAATATTTTTTGTTAGTTTACGTTAAGTTGACTTAAGTTAAGAATAATTTAAACAGTTATCGTTATAGCTGGTTGATGAATAGTCCTATTTAATGAATTTGATAATTTTTTCTTCGACCAAGGGTTAAGAAATTTAACAACACGAGCGAGTTACACTCGTGAGTAACCAACTTCGTCTCTGCTAAAACCGTGGGGTCTTAAATTCAACCGTGTCAGGCCTTTGATTTATAGCGGCCTAATGTGTTAAATAGTGGCGGTAACCATGACAAATGTGGGCACCCCTACCAAAGGCAATACTCATTTGCATTCTGAAAATAATGTTACCAAAATAATATAATTCAGTATTCACGTTTATAAAACTTTAATCGTGAAAAATAAATAACAAATTTTAAGTAATTTAAAATTAATCCACGATTTTTATTAGATGAACAAACTGAAGACTTCTTATTAGTGTACAAAATCTTTCATGATGCCCCAAGTCATTAGCAATTGCGGCCCAGCGAGACTGGTTTATTTATCTCTTGAAAGCTCATTTTAGCTCCAGAACAATAATTATTTAAATTTACTCTGTGTACTCCTCTATAAATAGTTAAAATATGTTAAATTAATCTGAATAATTCGTAATTTTTACAACTTATTTGAATTTTATAATTGAATTAAATATTAAATTTTCGTATCGTTAATAAAGTAGTACTAGCAGCTCTTTATATGCTTACCTACAATGGACTGAATAACGCACCTTTTCAGATATTATTATAAACTCCATAATTGCATTTAATCTTCTGGAATAATACTCTTTACGAGGAATAAAAGAGAAAAATATTTTTTAAACATTTCTGCAAACCTTCATTAAAATTACTCTTAATCGCTTTACAATATTTGTTAAAGCAATTTTTAACAATTTTTGTATTATGATCGTTTTAGTAATACTGTATAAGTATATCGACTAAACGAAACGAGACGAACGGAAAAGCCGTAATTAATTCATTAAGAATAACCGAAACAAAATAGTTTTAACTAAAGATCGCGGATGAGTACATTTCAAAACAAGTAGAAACAATATTTTTGTTATAAGATATTGCGAATAGTAGATATTAAATGACACCCGGACAATAATACAAGTAACCTTGTTGGATACCAAATTTAATAAAGGTATTTAGATACACTTCTCCGCCGAAATAAATGTGAATTTGAACACCACCTTTCTTGCGCATGTAGAACTTCTGCAAGTCCAAAATGGAGGTAATTAGCATTACCAGTAAGAGCACATTGGGCGAAATTTCTCGTTTTTCGATAAGGTGCGTGGACTCACAAATACTTGTACGATATCAGCAAGGTCTGCTGTCCTTGCGCAGCATGGCGTTTACCGAGTTCTAATTGCACTGATTTTGCAAAAAATACTTTTCGAATATTAACAATATTTATATCATTGCATTTCATTTTTAAAGAACTTTATAAACAAATTCTTCCATTTAAAACCAAATTTATATCAATCTCTACAATTACGTACGGTACTAACAAGAAAACGCAATATATGTAATTTGCCCCAACTTCTGTAACAAGAGTAGCATCTCGATATCTTAAACGGTTTTCAAGATATTTGCTGTGGCCAAATTAGGTAGTCCACTCTGTATATTTGAGTATTAAATTTTCGTTATTGTCTACTAGCATAAACTAGAAGAAGTCTTATTAACTTGGGAAACGAATTTCGAGCTGACTGAAATAATGAACTTTTTGAGTACGAAAAGAAACTGGTAAGAGACCCGCACCGCATGCCGTCTTGTTCGTATGTCGCGGTACATTGTCTCACCAGGTAACATTACTTGTGGCTAAATCATCTTCAGCTGCAGCGGTGTCACCAGTAATGAAGTATATATTATCACTCCTTTTCCCACAATCTTTTGATACAACGTTCGTTGGCCGAACTGCAGAATTTCCTTCAATTTTGTAAACATTAGTCCAACCGTACTTTTTTCCCCCATTTCATCGCATGTCTTCTCACGTTCTCTCGACACCCTAGCTAAGCTTTATTCCTATCTGATGAGAGTTTCCTTCTGAACGTCTTCAAGAGTTTTTCCATTGTAACTGCATTGTTTTTTCCTTTGTACCAACGACTTTAACCCCATTTTCCATTCTGACTTCCTGTGAGTGTTAATTGCGACCTCAAATGACTGAGGTCACGTGGCACATTTGGTTGGTCGCTACCGGTTCTGTTTGGCAATTCTTGTAAAAATGTAATATTACACTATTCAATTTTTCATTAGCTGGAGAGTTGCTGTCAGCTTCACAGGTGACATTCATTTCATCGGCGAACGGCATAACGCAGCGAACCTTCGTATGACTTCTCTAGTACCTAAATATTTTGCAGTAATAGTGAGCAATGTGTGAACATCAATGAACACAAATTGAGACCTATCTGGTTAAAAGGAATCGTAATAAAAGTTCTTTTATAGCTTTTGACGCGACCGAATGTAGTTGTTTAGAGAAAAATATTCTACCGATTAGGTTTTGCGTGGAGAATATAACACTCCGACTGCTCGCCTTCCACTTGCGAGTCCGAGGTCCAATCACTAATTTGTATGTGGAATATATAGTGAAGAAAACTAATTCTGAACAGGTTGTAAATACCTTCTCGATAATCGTTTCTCCCAAACCACCATTGCCCCATCATTGATAACCTCACCTACTCCTGAAACTATTCATTTTAGCAATTGCCAAGAAGCTAGGACACTTCTTATAATTAAGAATTATTTTTGCAACCAAGTCGATTCATGTCTCCAAGTACATTCTAAGTGCAGAATTGTGAAATACTTTAAAATAATAATAGCAGAAGTGGTCGTGGCAGCTTATTTATTTCGTCAAAATTCTTTTCAAACAACAAATTATCGTCAAAGTAAAAAAGGCGCAAAAAATAAAATTTACAAAACACGTTTCACTGTCAATGACAAATCTAAAATAAAATCGATATTATGGCAATATCTGACTTAAGAAGTGTTACTGTCTTCCGACACGTTTTCATTCCACGTTTTCTGTCCGATTGCGCCTCTTGATCTTCCAACTGCGCCTCAAGCGGCGAACACCGCCCTGAGCATCGCCGTGGCCCACGCGGGCAGCGGATTCGGGGGCAGGGGTTCGTGGTCCGCGCCCCACAACGCCCTGACGGCCGCCGCCATCGCCTTCACCATCAGCCACACCACGAGGCCCAGCGAGAGCGCCGCGCTCGTCGACCCGGCCACGGCCAGCGTGGCGACCACGGCCACCGCCACCACCGCCAGCGCCGCCACCACCGTCAGCGCCACGGCCAGCACCAACGACCCCACCACCGTCACCGCC